AAAACCGTTACGTTACTGAACGCCTCTAGCCTGGTTATTTAAAACTGGCGATGAGGATGTCAGAAACGGAGGCCGTTGTAGTGCCAGCACTGGTACCATCTTCGGTATTTACTGCCTTTCACCCCGAAACTGAATCCTGGGATGCGTTCCTGGAAAGGTTCGAGGTCTTCCTGATGGCCCATGATCTGTCGGAGCTTCCCGAGGGGAGAAGAAGGGGCACATTCTTACATTACTGCAGGGCAGAAATGTTTGCCACAGCCCGTGCGTTAGCCGCCCCAGCACCTGTGCACTCCCTACCTCTCGACATCCTGATGGAGCGCCTGAAACTCCACTACGAGCCGGCACCGTCCAGATACACTCGCAGACAGACTTTCCGGCGATGCATTCAGAGACAGGGCCAGACAATCGCCCAATACGTTGCTGAACTGCGGCAACCGCTATAAATTGCGAGTTCCCCGACTTAGAGGACGCTTTGCTGGAGCAGTTCATCTACGAAGTCGCAGATATTAACCTCCACAGGAAAATCTTAGAGAAGACCGTCCTCACCATGAAAATTGCCATTGACATAGCCCGGGCGTATGAGATGGCCGGCCACTCAACACCAGACACCCGTCGACTGCCCTCATCCGCGCTGCAGGGGTGGCCCAACTCCGGCGTGCACAGCTAAACGCTGTCCAATGACCCCTGTGCCGATGCCACAGTCACCGTGGATCTCATGAGGGCACAGCCTCTGCGCGACGGAGGTAGCTGTCTGAGCTGCGGCGGCCACCACCCAAGGGCATCATGCCGTTTCCGCATGGCTGTTTGCCGCCGTTGCGGTAAAAAGGGCCATATTTCCAACGTCTGCAAATCTTCCTCCGGAGAACCTCGGAACCCAAGACCTCCCTCGTCTTCCACGTCGTCCACTCTGCCGATGACCAACCAACCTTCTGCTGGCCGCCACCAGACCCCAGGCTCCTCTTCAGGCTGGATGACCTATTATGCCGTGTCCACCCCGGAGCCAACGACAGCCGACTGGCAGGCCAAACCAACTGCTGCTTCATCGTACGGCAGCCAGGGTAAAATGCACCTCCGCATATTACTCGCAAGCTGCCCCTGCACAATGGAGCTGGACACTGGCTCCGCCCGCACCATAATTTCGTGGGACACCTTAGGGACACTTATACCAACCCTCCGCCCTACACAACTCAGTCCTGCAGACTGCCTCCTACGGGACTACCAGGGTCACACCATCCCTATCTTGGGCTGCGGTACCTTTCCCGTCTCATTCCGAAAATTCAAGGGCCAGTTACCCCTAACGGTAGTCAAACCCTCCTTAGCCTCGCTACTGGGCATGGATTGGTTCAGAGCCTTGGGCCTGGGAATCTCAGGCATTAATTCACTACAACTAGCACCCTCCCTGGAGTCCCTGCTAGCGGAATACGATGACGTCTTCTCAGACGCTTTAGGGTGCTACAACGGCACCCCCATCACCCTAAATCTCGACCCTTTGGTGGCGCCCATCCGTTTAAAGGCCAGACGGGTTCCATTAGCTCTGAGGGCTCGCGTGGACGCCGAGCTCGACAAGCTCGTCGCCCAGGGAGTCCTAGAGCCAGTAGATCACGCCCCCTGGGAAACACCTATAGTCCTGCCACTCAAAGCCGATGGCTCACTGAGGGTGTGCGTGGACTATAAGGCCATGCTCAACAAGGCCTTACAAGCCCACCCTTATCCTGTGCCCATAGTGCAGCATGTCCTACACTCCTTGGGCCAGGGCCAGACTTTCGCAAAACTGGACCTGGCCCAAGCATACCAACAGCTACCTGTTGACAAAGCGTCCGCTATGGCACAAACCATCGTCATGCACCGAGGCGCGTTCAAATGTCGCCGCCTCCAGTTTGGGGTTAGCATCGCCCCAGGAATTTTCCAGGGCCTTATGGAGCGAGTGCTCCACGGCATCCCCAGGGTCGTCCCTTATTTTGACGATGTCCTGATCGCCACAAAGGACCGATCAGGACTCATCAAAACATTAAGGGACGTCCTCTCAAGGTTCCGCATGGCCGGATTACACTTAAAACGTTCAAAGTGTAAATTCGGCGTGCCGTCAGTGGAGTTTTTGGGATTTTTGGTGGATTCCAACGGAATCCATCCCACCCCCTCCAAGGTGGAAGCCATCGCTTCCGCTCCCACTCCTACCAATAAACAGGAGCTCCAAGCCTTCCTGGGCCTCCTAAATTTCTATTCACCATTCATCCCTCATAAAGCAACAGTTGCGGAGCCCCTGCACCGCCTCCTTGACACGTCAACTCCTTGGGCCTGGACAGACCATGAAGCCCAAGCGCTCGCGGCTGTCAAAGCACTGCTAACTAATGCGCCGGTGCTAATTCAGTACGATGAGCACCGACCCCTAGTACTGGCCTGCAACGCATCCCCCTATGGGATTGGAGCAGTCCTCAGTCATTCATACCCAGATGGAACCGAGCTACCCATCGCTTTTTACTCCCGCACCTTGTCCAAACCAGAGCGGAATTATAGCCAGTTGGACAAGGAGGCCCTCGCGGCCGTAGCGGGAGTAAAAAGGTTCCACTATTACCTATACGGCCGCCATTTTACCCTAGTAACGGATCACAAGCCGTTGCTGGGCATAATCGCGGGGGATCGCTCCACCCCACCCATCTTGTCACCTAGAATGGGCCGTTGGTCAGAGTTTCTCTCCGCCTATTCATACAACCTGGTATACAGACCAGGCAAACAGCTAGGGCATGCAGATGCCCTCAGCCGTTGCCCCCTACCTACCCCAGTTACCGACCCAGTTCCAGCCACATCGGTATTTACTCTAACTGAGGACGTCTCATGTCCCCTGTCAGCCACGGACATAGCGCATGCCACGCGCTCCGATCACACCCTCCAAAGAATACTGGACGCAGTAAGATGGGGTTGGACGGAGGAAACACGGACAGGCGACTTTCTCCCATTCTACCGCCGAAGGGACGAGCTGTCAGCGTCCCACGACTGTCTACTGTGGGGTGCCAGAGTGGTGATACCTGCTGCCCTCCGCTCACAAGTCCTCACCATGAAGGACTTGTGTCCATGAAGGACACCCAGGCATAGTCAGAATGAAGGCCCTCAGCCGCAGCTATGCCTGGTGGCCCTCCATGGACGCAGACATAGCAGCTTGGGTTCAGCAGTGCTCTCCCTGTCAGGCAGTACGACCAGCTCCCCCTTCCACACCCACACAACCCTGGGAGAAACCCCCCTCCCCCTGGAGCCGAATACACCTTGACTTCTTCGGCCCCGTAGAAGGCCGCACCTTCTTAATTATAGTAGACGCCCTGTCAAAGTGGGTCGAAATTTTCCAAATGGCCTCAACCACAGCGGGCGCCACTGTGCAAGTCCTACAATCCCTATTTACGACACACGGGTTACCAGACGTCATCGTATCCGATAATGGGCCCCAGTTCCAATCCTCCACCTTCCTAACATTCTTAGCATCACTAGGCATCCGCCATGCACCGATAGCACCCTACCATCCCGCGGCCAATGGCTTGGCTGAGAGAGCCATAAGGTCAGCGAAAGAAGCCCTAGCCAGACTACACCACCTTCCTTGGCCACAACGGCTTCGCACATATTTATTGGCTCAACATACAACGCCAAACCAAACAACTGGGAAAAGCCCAGCCGAGTTATTAATGGGCCGCAGACTAAGAACAACCCTGGACAGGATGCACCCTGCCTTCTCGCCTACAACCCCAAATGCTTCACAACCCCCTAGAAATAGAATATGCTCAAAACTACGCAGGGGAGCCCAAATGGCTAGCCAGGGTTGTGACCGAGATAACAGGGCCCTGCTCTTACAGGGTTCTGCTGGCCGACGGACAACTATGGAGGTGCCATGTGAACTAGCTGCAGCACCGGGCACCGGCATCCCAGGCAGCAGCAACCGACAGGGGCAACCAACAACAGCCACCAGGGTCTGCTTACTCCGGGGCCACCCAGCCTAACCAGGCACCTCCTTCCGGCGCCTCTTCAGCTCAAACCGGTCGAAGAGATCCACACAAAACTCAGCCGGGGCCTGCATGCCCAGGGGCTGATCAGCCTGCCCAACCACGTCACGCCACGGCTCTGCCAACTACAACCGACTATGCAGACCGAAGCCTCCGCCCTTTACACTACGCAGTCTTACCTCGGCCCATCCCAATCGGCTCCGGGCCCAGATCAGCCTCTCAGATATGTCACCGCAGCCAGGCACAACCTTCTTCATCGGGAGATGCCCCAGCACTGAGGAGATCCCAGCGCGTGTGCAGACAGCCCGCATATTTGAGAGACTACGCATGCGCCATCTGGGGGGAAGGAGTGTTACGTCCTCCCGTGCCAGCCGACGGGAGGGGCTGGAGCAGCCGGCAGCTGATTGGCTGCGACGCACCCGCCAGCTGGAGGAAGGCACGGCGGGCGCCTATTGGCTGGCCAACTGACAGCTCCAGTATATAAAGAGCTGTCAGTTGGCCGGGAGCTGTCCACGTTCTGAATCCTCCTAGTTCACAGACCTGTGTTTAATAAAGCCGGAAAAACCGTTACGTTACCGAACGCCTCTAGCCTGGTTATTTGAAACAGCAATGGTACTATTTTCAATAGGACAGTCCAAAATACTCACAAACATAAATTTACAGATTAATCACAAGCTTTTGACCGGAGAAAGATGATGATGCAGCCGTCCTCATTGAGGGACTGAGTCTAAAGCTGGGTCTACCTAGCAGGGGCGTGGTTAAACAACGTTATCAGACCCAGTCCTCTCGATGAGTGAATGAAGGTTAACCCAGTCTGGATGCTGCCTCCACCACTAGGGAGAAGAACAATGATTGTGTTGGTCTTACTTTTCTCAATCAATAGTCTGGCTTTGCTGAGTGTGTGTAGTTACAAATTTGAAAAATAAATTAATGATGCCATCTGTCTTTCTTTTAATAACACAAATCTGTTCAAAAGAATACATGATTCTGCCTGGCAATCTTTTTTATTTTATAGCAAGTGTCTATGCCATCCTTGACAGCCTCAAAACTTCACGTTTTAAAGAAATGTTGTGAGATTTTAGCTTTCTCACATGAGAATTTCTGACATTTTGAGACTCTTAAACTAATTCCTGTGAGATTTTAGTGATATTTGAAGACTGGGGCATCTCATTAGGCACCTGCAGATGAGGCACTGCCAAACCCTGCTTAGCGTTTAATGTGTGGTTGTGGATTGATGCCAGAATTACTGGTGTGAAAACCTTACATATGCATGTTATATATGCATATATATATATATATGTATTTGCAATTATTGTTAGATTACTAGACTTTCTTCAACTTTTCCTACTTTTTAAAATAGATAATGCTCTTAAGTGATCCTGAGATTGAAAGTAGCATCCTCATCAGTAATGACGAAGGAGCCACCTATCAAAAATATAGACTCAGCTTCTACATCCAGAGTCTGCTCTTCCATCCTAAGCAAGAAGACTGGATTCTAGCATACAGCATTGACCAAAAGGTACGTGCCCTTCTCCTTTCTCCTTGGACACATATCCAAACTCCATTTCAAATGCAATACCAAACTGCAGTTTAACATTTCACATACAGCTAGGAACAACTATTATGTTATTCCCATATATACCTCCTCAGGGCTTGGACTTTCAGACTTTTTCATTAAGCATTATTATTCAGGCATGATAAATCAATATACCTGGTTTATTTTTCTTTCCTGTGGACAAGTAGCCTGCTGATGCTGTGAGGCCCATTTACTCTTGCTTCATTCCTCTCTCCCTTTGCACAAAAGAAGAAAAGCTAACTGGACTATAGTTGTTTGTTTTGATGTCAAAATACAGGATGCTGGTTTGTGGCACCCAACCAAGTCAGGTTTCATAAGACAGTAACAAATTATCTTGTGTATATTTTCAATACAACATCAAACAGAAAGAGAAAAAAAAATATGCTCATAGTTTTCCATGGAACAACTGCAGCAGCAACTGTTTAGCTTATGGTAAGAATGAAAAAATCTTTTAATGCAAGTGGCAAGGCACAGACAGCATTTTGTGTTATCATTTTGGCAAACCAGTAGTTTATTCTAAAAGGATGGACAGTTATGATCCTAGTTTTAAATATTCCCAGGAAGGCAACTTGGTCATTTGCCGCAACCGCAACAGGTAATTTCTTCCTTTGAACTATGCAGATCCCACCTCTACATAATTGCCCAATTTGGATTTGTGCTATTAGAATGTATACTACTCTTAATCATTGCAGTTTGGAGAAGAAGAAACCTACAGTTTTGTTGGTTGTTCTACTTTTGGAAATCACTTGCTTTGATGTGAATTAGGTTGTCCAGAAGTATTGACACTACAGTACAGTTTGCATTGTATCCCTCTCCTATAAAGTATTCTTTGCCACAAAGACATTAATAATTTTATTGGAGAAAGCACTATACTTACATACTCAGGATGTGCCTAAGACATTATTCTGAGAAATAGTCATAAAAGCTTGTTAGAATTAAAAGTATAATGCCATTTATCTGATAATTTTTCATAAGGTGTTCTATCTAATGCCTTCTATAGTCTTTTTAATCTATATAGTTAAGCAATAAAGATTCATATTGGAAGACTGAGCTAATAAAAGCCATTAAGATTATGAAGCACATTATAGCCAACTTTCCCCTCAAGCATCTATCAGTGAAATAAATAGAAATATTAATTTTCCAAATTCACATATTTTATGGGTTTGTGCATCCATATAGTCCTAAAACTCATAATATTATAACTGGATGAATGGTGCATCAGAGGACAACAATTTTGAACCAAGATACTTCATATGAGCTAAATAACAGAATATGTCCAGAAACCAGGACATAACTTCCAAGGGAATTAAATTTGGGAAATTTGTGGCTGCCTCAAGTGCTAGCAGCTGCTGCTGTGATCATATAATCTTCATTTTAAATGTTCTATGAAACTTTCCCAGCCAGTCCCACAATCTTTCACTCCCTCCCTCCTTCACCCAGCAGCAGCTATTTATATGCATGCTGTAAATGAAAAGGAAAGGGGAAAGAAGAGAGAAAGAAATAAGAAAGAAAAAAACTCCCTTGTACTCTTTCTGCCCATTGCCATTCTCCTCCACACAATTGCCAGACTCGCCAATCAGCCCACTCTCCTTCCTCAACCTGTGTCACCTTCCATGTGCCTTCTCCAACCCAGGAAACACTTTTGCACACCTTTCTTTATCCATGCTGCCTCCAATGCCATCCCCAATTGGTATGGCACCTGTCATACAGCCTTGCAACATCCATTCATTCTTCTTGATTTATGTCACACACACAGTCCGGCATATTCTATCCAACCTATACAGCACTTCTCATGTATCCCTGGGCACCTTTACTGAACTATGATGTCCCTCTACATGCCCTCACTGACCTGTGAGGTAATCTCTGGTCCAAACACTCCTAACCCATACAACATCTTTCAAACATTCTTTTGTTCCTCCCTCAATTGGCATCAGCCACTTGGCTGCTGGCCTTGGACTTGCAATTTCCTGTTAGCTTCTCCATTGACTTTTTCTCTGCAAGCTTCCCACAAAGTAAATGGGGAAGCTGTCAAATAGTCACAAGAGGGAGGGAAGAGTCTAAATAAGTGAAGAAGGAAGGAAGGAAGGAAGGAAGGAAGGAAGGAAGGAAGGAAGGAAGGAAAACAGTGAAGAAAGGAGGAAGAGAGGGAAGACAAGAAAGAAGGATAGGAGGAAGGGAAGGAGAGAAGGAAAGAAAGATTGATTTCTGATGCTCACTACTAGCTTCCTACAAAGAAAAAAAATGAGGAAGTTCGCAAGACACTGGAGGTCATTCCCAGTGCCATTGCTTTTTTTGCCCACCCATCATCATTCTGTGTTTCTCTGTTTAGGTAAGGAAATACTTCTGAAACTAGTAACTCATAGAATTACAAGACTGAGCACAAGGAGGAGAGAAGATCATTATTTCTTAAATGTTATTTATGAATGTTTGATTCCTGTGACAGTATTGGACTGTGAACCATTTAATGTCTTGATACTAATGGTCTATAGATTTACAAGAGAAAAAGATTTAAAAAGTTTTGACACGAATGTTTTTTTTTCTAGACATAGTCATTTGAAATAGCAAGGCATCTTGCTGGGGGCGGAGCCTGTCGCCGAAGGAGCTCAACGGAGCTCCTCTCAGAGTTCTGGTCTGTATATCTAATTAAGATCAATAGATATCACCCCTTTTTGGCAGAAAGGGGCAGGCAGAAGCTCAGGTGCTAGGATTTATTCGTAGTTCACAGCCCCTTTTCTTTTTTGGGGGGGGGGCTGCGAACGGAGAAGAGATCCAGCGTAACTGAGCTCTTATCTCCAGCCAGTTCCTCGCAGCTG